TCTGACTAGCCATACTTAGCCTTCAGGATGAGTAGCTCAAGCATAAAACGTAGCAATGTCCAATGTGTTGGACAACCCTTTTCAACACCATACACAATCTCATTCGATGCTATTATCATCCTTTCCAAAATTTCTAGATCTTTCGGCTCTTTAGTAAAATCTCTGGTCCAAGGGTTCGAATCATGTCCTCCAAATCATCTTCATGCCCGACATGTGCTCCACCATCATTATTGGCACCACCTTCGTCATTACCATCCCAACCACCAGCATCACCACCTTGTCCATTCGTGCATCAAGCTCTGCTGAATATTGGGACAGGGATTCTAGGGTTTCGTCGTCGTATTCCTCCTCATCCTCGTCGTTAACGATAACCGTTTCACCATGATGAATCCACACTGTGTACTCCTCAACAAATCCTCGCATAATCAAATGTGATCTGATGATAGTCACATCTATCCATGCCATACAGTTCTTACAATCTTTACAGGGACAAATAATTGTATCTTTATTCTCTGTCAATGTCGTTGCATGCATGTGAACGAGACTGTCCAGCTCTAGGCTGTGCAGTCTTTGGATGCTTCATGCATATGACTATATATGAATGTTTATATTGGTTTTCATATATATATGACAAATAAATAGAACACATACTTAGAAATTTCATCAGTCCCATATTTTTGTCACTCACCTAAACCTCACTTCCTCCATTACCTCAGTTCAGACCTCGGCAAGTTCGTCGATTTGTGTGAGAATAATAGGGTGGAATCCTGATATGCTTCAATGCTTCGGGACAATATTCAGCCCCGTCAGCCTATTTGGCCCAATTCATAGGCTCGACAAACATTGAATTAGACTCTTCCAAATTATAAGTCAGTTTTAACTTTTTGGTCAAAGCGAATCCTCCACGTCGATAGGGAGCTAAAAGATCGACCACCTTAATACCTGTTTCAAAGATAGATAATTTCGTATCTAACTCGATAAAGGCAAGCACAGATCCACTAGGAAATGTTGCACTAGTATCCACGGGACCTAAATTGTCAATAGGCTCCCAAAGAACGTTAAAAATTCGTCCGAGAGTAGCTCCACTGACTGGAACACTTAGAGGAGTTCCTGTGTCAATCACTTCCATTCCTCTCATCAACCCGTCTGTAGTACTCATAGCCATAACATTTGGAATGAAGAAAGTAACTTATATGAAAAACGTGGGGCCTTGAATTAAAAGTTCTTTGCTTAGCTAACAATCCAAAATTGCTGATCCTCAAAAAAAAAATCCAAAATTGCTTATGGATGGCAAACCGGCTTCATTCTCGTGGATGGCCAAAATAGGACATCTTCCCTTCGTGTCAAAGAATCGCCCTGACTGATCGCCGTTGGGTGCGCGACATCACTGGTGCTCCAACTGCCCCAGTACTCTACGAGTACGTTCACCTCTGGGCGAGGCTTCAGAACGTTCAGCTGCGACCCTTGGAATCTGATCGCTTCGTCTGGCATTGGTCGACTGATGGCCAGTACTCTGTTCGCTCGGCGTACAGGGCTTATTTCGTTGGCTAGACGTGCATGGCGGGCGCCAAGGAGCTTTGGCGCGCTGCTGTCCCTCCGAAGGTGAAGTTCTTCTTCTGGCTGGCTTTGCATGGTCGCCTATGGACGGCTGAGCGCAGGAAATGGCATGGCCTCCAGATGGACGCGGTCTGCGCCTTGTGTGATCGGCTCGACGAAACAACAGACCACCTCCTGTGCTCATGTGTCTACGTTCGCGAGGTATGTTCCCGATTGCGGCTTGCCATGGGCTCCCTCGCCGCAGCGCCTCAGCAGACATCTACCCTACTCGACTGGTGGCTGCTAGGTAGAGCTACACTGCTGCAGGTCCTCAGGAGGAGCTTCGACTCGCTAGTGTTGCTTGTCATGTGGTGTTTGTGGAAGGAAAGAAACTGTCGCACTTTCGATCGCAGGTCCATGACGCCGCCCGAGCTGCTCATTTCCATCCTGGAAGAGGCGGACGCCTGGATCTGCGTGGGCTTCGGCAGTCTGGCGTTGCTCACCGCCCTCGCTGCTTGAATTGCGCTGGGCTCCCCTTCCGGCTCTGTCGCGCCACTGGTTCTTTACTTAGTACAACCTTACTTCCCCACCACTAGATGGTGATTTGTGTTATTTGTTCCTCCCCGATGCTTACGGCTCCTCGCCGTGATCATCAATGGAGTTTGTAGAACTTCCTACTTTCACTTAATGAAGCACGTGTCAATGCACGCTTTCGGAAAAAAAAAAAGCAAATCCGTGATCCACCCCTTGCACACTGCAGGTGCACAAAGGGGATCTGGGATGATGTTCGATCATGGACCAATGGGCGCTTTCCAAGCACATAGCAGTGGGATAATTTTGCTTTGGTTGTCTCAGTGGTGGCGCATGGTGGGTTACTGGGTTCAGAAGTTAGGATGCCAGTTAAAGGCGGTTAGATCGTTCATATTGCTTGTTTCATGGGAGCCGTGGAAACAGCTAAAGACAAGAATTTTTTTAGAAGTTTAGCCCACCACATGTTCTCATCATCAGAAAAATAAAGAGATGAAACTAGACTTTGGTACACATCGGGTGCTAATCGACTAAACGAGATCTTACCAAGATGAGAGTACCTCTTTATCATGTTTTGGGCTTTGAGTGGCTTCCCTCGGCTAAGTTCTTGTTTTTTTTTCCTCAGATAATTTGTACTTTGTTTTGGGAAACCCTCTTCAAACAGGCCTTGTGTGGGCCGGCACTTATAGTGGGCTGACATTTGATTTAGGCCTGGTTTAGTTCCCAAAAATTTTCACCCCAAACTATCACATTGAATCTTGCGACACATATATGGAGCATTAAATATAGACAAAAAAAACCAATTGCACAGTTTGGTTGGAAATAGCGAGACGAATGTTTTAAGACTAATTAGGCCACGATTAGCCATAAGTGCTACAGTAACTAACATGCGCTAATGCCGGATTAATTAGGCTTAATAAATTCGTCTCGCAGTTTTCAGGCGAGCTATGTAATTAGTTTTTTTATTAGTATCTGAAAACCCCTTCCGACATCCCCGAAACATCCGATGTGTCATCCAAAAATTTTCATTTCGCGAACTAAACACAGCCTTACACATCCCCTCAGGACTACTGGAGCGGGTTTATAAGCTCCAAATGAACAAAAAAATTTCAGCAATATAAAAGATTAGTTGAGGCTTCCATGTGTGAGTATAATTAGGGCTTGTTTGGATCCACTCACTAAACTTAGCTGCCTAAATTTAGTTGTCAGGGATCCAAACAGCCCAACTAAAGTTTTGTTGAGTTTATTAGCTGGAGGATTCAAACACCCCAGTTAAAGTTTAGCTGGGAGAATTTTTAGGTGGCTAAAATTAAACTTTAAAATGTTAGCTATCTAAATTTTAGTTGGGTGGATCCAAATAGGACATTATATTGTTTTGTTTCAAAAATCCAGTACTAACATGCACACACTATAAAAAACTAATCCTTCAGATATACTCCCTTCATTTCAAAGTAAGTGCACTTATAGACTTATAGTATTTGAATTTTTTTTCCCGAAATAAATGCATTTGTAGCTATAATACACTTTGATAAGTGCTCTTAGCACCTCACTCTAGGGTTAGCTGATGACCTCACTCCTGAGGTGGTACGGTGATGGACTCAGCGAGCGACCTTTCTGCACGATGGGAACCAAAACTCTGACCGCACTACGATGAGCAGCAGGCCGGCCGCCGGCGACCATTAATTCCGGTCCGGAGAGAACGAACCTACACGCACCACGTACGAGGAAAGATCGTCCCATGACGCTGACATCACATCGGCCATCTATCTTTGAACGGAGATGGAGCTTCGTTCACATTGAACGGAGATGGAGCTTCGTTCACAAGTATCACACGTGCGTACGCGAAATATCCACGTCGAAGTAAGCGAGACTGGTTAATTACATATGACCATGACTGCCGATGATTGTTGCTGTTGGGCCGGGTAGGCTTGACCGCTTGAGAGCGAAATTTCAGAAACGGAGGCAACTAGCAGCAGGAAACGGGCCGGGGTTGAAATTTTTTGACCAGTCCACACTGTCGACGACGGAGAGGTTGCTGAACGCCTCGCCATGCGTGGTTGCATGCATCAACCGATCGTCAACATGAGCTGGCAGCTGGCGCCCACCAACTGCACAGGCTGCCGCCGCCGTCGTCGTCTCGAGTCAATGGTCAACCGGTTAATTGGGGTTAATTTCCACGGATCGATGATCGATCCCATGCATGGTCACCGTGGAATGGAGGAAAAAAGGATCCCTGCTGCCTGCTTGGAATGCTTTGTTTACGTCTGCGGATGCACCACTAGCTAACGGATCGCAACTCCCCTGCTGCTTCCGGTAGGCGGGTGGTAGACAGTGGGGACTGGTCAGGCTCTGTTTGGCTGGCTGAAAAAACGGTTCACGCTGATGTTGATGTTGATTTGTTGTGAGAAAAAATACTGTTATTTTGTTGAAACGGTACGGCTGATAAGTTCAGGCGAACGGGGGCCTAGATTTGTATCCCAACAACTTTTTTGACGTTCGCTCCGATCCGGATGCTGCTGGGAAATATTCTACGTTTTCGTTATTGACGAAGCGAAGTTAGTTCCAGTACGTTCTTCTCAACTTCTCAATGATTTGCTGCTAAGATACCGAAAGGAGTCACTTGACAGGGTTGATCAACGTTTTGCTGCAAATTAATAACAAACAAATACATGCTTTACATGCTTTGATTCATTCCACATCAAAACGTGATGATGTGACATGATCGAGCTTATGATAATTACTCTCTGTGCAACCAACACGACGACCGACAAGTCACCTGAGTAATAGAGACTACGGTTGGTGTCTGCTGGTCAGGCAGGTGTGTACTGTACACACCTACACATACACCTCCTAGGCTCCTACCAGCCCCTCAGTAGTAGTGCGTAGTACGACGCAAGCACGGTTACGTAGGCGTGCTATCTTCATCATCATCATCATCATATCGTGTGGAGACGAGCCACCTCCTCTGCGAACACCTTCCTGAACTCGGGCATGCTCTCGGGCTCCAGCGACAGCGCGAGCGCGACGGCGCCCTCCTTCCCGGGCGCCTGCATCACGTACACGAACCCGCTGTAGTACATGAGGGCGGGGCCCATGAACACGGGCGCGCCCCACCCGAAGTCGGAGTCGTGCAGCGACATCCCCATCCAGCTGATGGCGCGGAGGTGCGCGCGCGAGATGCCGCTCCGGGGCAGGTTCATGGAGTCCACGCCCTCCAGGTAGTCCACCAGCGACCGCGCGTAGTCGTCGCCCTGGCTCGTCGCCGCCAGCGCGCGCCGCGCAGCGTACCCCACGGGGTTCCCCACCACCTCCCCGACCGTGGCCAGCGCCGACGTCCGGATCACCGCGTTGCCAAAGTAGCCAGGGGGCAGCGGCGGCGCCAGGCGCGCGCGCATGTCCACCATGGAGAAGAGCCGCGTCTCGGCGTCGGCCGGGAGCGACCGCGCGCGGCACGCGCACTGCCACACCAGCGCCACCACGGCACGGAACGTGGACGCGCCTGCGCACCGCGCCTTGAGCGCCGTTACCTGCGACTTGCTCAGCGTGATCATGGCGCTCGCGTAGGAGGAACCCGCGGCCACCGCGTGCTCCGGGGCCGGCTCAGGCTTGTACTCCGGGTGGTCGTACAACACCGCGCGCGTCGCCGGGGGACGCGCGCTCAGCAGCCTGTGGTCGAAGCAGGGCGGCAGGGGCGCGTCGCCGCCACCGCCGCGGGCGATGCTCGCCCACGTCTCCACGAAGTGCGCGGCGCTCCTGGCGTCCACGACCGAGTGGTGCAGGGCGAGGCCGAGCACGACGCCGCCGCAGCGCAGGCGGGTGACCTGCGCGAACAGCAGCGGGCACGGCGGGTTCGGCGCGGGCGTGGCGGGTACCAGCAGGTCCCGCATCTCGTCGCACGGCACGAACTCGTTCAGCAGATCGTCCAGCGCGTACTCCGACCGCGCCGTCACGAACACCGCGCCCTCGCCCGTGCAGTCGATCTGGACGCGCCCGGTGGCGGCGTCGAGCCCGAGGCGGCCGGCCAGCGGGTAGAAAGCCACCAGCGCCCGGGCGAGGCTGTCCTTGACGGCGTCGGCCTCAAAGAACTCCGGCTTGTTGTTCGTTCGGTAGAAGTAGACCGTGGGCGTGTACCCGCGGCGCGCCGCCAGGTCGAGGTTGGACAGCCAGACGGCGCCCGCCGGCGTCCCCTCGGCCGGGACAACCAGCTCCGTCGTCAGCAGCTCCACCATTGCCATCGCTCGGCTAATACCCCGCGGCTCTTGCCTGACGACGACGGTGGATTGTATTGTTTGCCCTAGCTAGAGCTAGCTAGCTGTTGCTGCGGTGCGTGAGTGGCTTAGCTTCCTGGCGCGTCTGCCTTTCTCTCTTGTTCCGCTGCTCTGCTGTGATGTGGGGTTGGGACTGGCTCCTGCGAGGTTTATATAGGAAGGGCTGAAGAAGCCGTCCACGGCCGCGGGGGTCGGGGGAGGTTGGAGACTGGATACTTGGGTTGGTGGCTGGGCGGCTGGGTATTGTAGAAATGCGCGCCAATTTCGCATGTGTAGCAGTATGAAATTCTTGACTCCTCGGTTGACTGCATCTGCATGCATGCTCCAAAGCGTGTGGAGAACCAAGACCTGAAAATGGTATGTATGCATGGCACATATTTTCTTGTCTAGGGTGTGGGGATGATGAGATGCTGTGAATTGTGATGCACGCCAAGCAAAAAGACATACTTCCCCTCCGTTCAAAGTTATAGTTCACTTTTACTACCTTTGTTTTAAGTCACACATCTCTAGCCTTGATTGACTTCATAGAAAAATGCACAAAATCATATTAGTTTTATTAAGATCTTCATATAAGATATGTCTTGACAGCGCATTGAGTTGTACTTGTGGACGTTAAAATCTTCATTAACATGCAGTAAAATATTGATTCTTTTTTGTGGATCGTATTCAGTTGTGTGGAGATTGTTGTACACGGGACGAGAAGATATAAAGGGCCTGTTTGGCTTCCTCCCCGGAGCCCCAGAGCTACCTGGCCCATGCGTCTGATTTTGGATGCCTGGATTGGCAAGGTACGAACCAAACGAGCCCAAAGTTTCCATAAGAAACTGAGAGGACCTTTGTATCGTGTTGCATTCATATCTAAGGTTACATAGATTAGTGTCTGAACTAGATTATACATTTGGCGATTGAGGTTCGTCTCTTGACAAGGTTTTGTTCTGCCTCATGGCTCGTTTAGTCGTTTTCTATGATATTTTGATGTTATGTGATTTTTTTCTAATTTAGGAAAAATAATGTTGCCAGCTAGTATAGATATTTGAGACTTCACTTATTACTTACTAGACTTCAAATCTTGGTGGCGCCACAGGCATGGCCCAGATGGGCGGCGGATTGCAAGGGGGCGATGACAAGTGTGGAAGAGTTCAACCGGCGAGCTGGAACAGTGTGGGAAGGAGATAAAGGAAGGGATGGGAAGAGTGAGTGGGTCCTACACATACAATAAAATGATATTCGGAACCGAGCGATGACCATTCATTTTCCAAAGGAAACCACATCGCATTTACCATGGGGATCTTCTCTAGTCTACTAGTCAAAAAGACGGTCCACAAAGTTAGCACTTCATAATAAAAACAGAAAACAAGAGAAGCGTATCGTGCAACAGGCGATGATCACTGGTCAAATGGTCAATATTGGTCCAAAGATGGTTGGGGTGAGACGAACCAATTAGAAGTGCCGGGCGGCTTGCAAGCAGGCCAAAAGATGACCCAGTCCTGCTCCTCTCAGGCCTTCTCTTTATCACATTAAATTTTTAGATATATGCATGGAGTATTAAATATAGATAAAAAAATAACTAATTACATAGTTTGATTGTAAATTACAAAATGAATCTTTTGAGCCTAGTTAGATCATAATTGGACAATAATTATCGAATACAAATAAAAATGCTACAGTGTCAAATACTGATTTCTAACCGCGAACTAAACAGGGCCTTATTTCTCCAACCCGGCCGAATCCAACTTTGCAAGGTAATTAAAGAAAAGAATGAATGGGATCATCATTCGTATCTAATTTGGTCATTTTGCTACTTCGCGCTTGAGCACCCGTCGGACGCCACGACGCCTCCCTGACCTGCGCCGCCGCATCCACGCCGACGGACGCGGCGCCGCCGCCGCGCACACCAGCAGCTCGCCTGCGACGAGCGCCCAGAAGGGGATCGAAGGAGGGAGTGTGGCTGCACTGCCCTGGCCGTCTCGCCATGGTTTGGGGCTTGGCCTTCTGCCGCCCCCTGACCTAGCGGCCTCTGCCTTTGTCTAGCTTGCTGGCTAGCTTTGCTGGCCACCACGGTGGAGCTGTGTGCCTCGTCTTCGAGAGTTGGGTCTTGCCTTCCGGTGCTGCTTCACCTTCGGGGTGGAGGACTAACATCCATTTCTGCCACCTGTTCGACGGTCGGTCCATGACGCTGCCGTTGTCTTTGCTGGCGATTGACGGCATGAAGACTGATGCCTCCCACCTTGCAAGACTGCTGTCGTCGCCGTGATTGCAAGTTGCCTTCGCCATTCTGTTAAAGGTGTGACCTCTCTTCTCGTCCCGTCCATGGAGCTGCCGGGACTGTCTTTCTCCCCAGGTTTGAGCTTTCTAGCTGATGTTCTTCGTAAGTTTGGGCTGTCGGTCACTAGACCTCGGCTTCATCGTGCCTCTTTTGCTCTGGTAGCGGCCTTTGGTCGTTGCAAATTCCGGTTAACTCCGGAATCGGTCGGTTTTCTTCTGCAAGCCACTCTAGGCGGCGAGGCTGTGCCCTTCTGTGTTTCTCAACTTGGTGATCGTATATATATGTTTCATGTTCGTCTGAATGATTCAAACGCATGAGTAGTACTAGTGGTGAGTGAATTGTTCTTTAATCTCTTTCTTTTTCTTTTACTGAATCTTGGCCGGAAGCACATGTGTACTTGGTGTGCACGTTTGGCGTCGATGGGAGCGTTATTAAACAAGAGGGGTTTCTTTTGGTGTAACATGTGCGGTTTCGGTTCCACTGACCTGCATAAAAAAAATGCGTGCGATGTGCTTCCGAGAAATGGTGGGACAATGTTTGGTGTGGGAACGAAGACAGCAGCGGCAAAGCAAGAGGGAGAAGAATAACGAATATAGACGAACGATGTATACTCTGTTGTACATGTACTATACCTCCGACCCGTCCAAAAAAATATAATTCTAACTTTATCCTTAGTTAAGCGGTTCTAAATTTAACCAAATAACATATATAACTCCATATAGGAATTATTATCATAAATACTTGTAGTTTTTTATTATAAATGTTATGGTGGGCCAGACCTACCAGAGAAAGAGGAAGGCAAGTGGCATGCAGGCCGCGTCCGCGCACGACGCGGGATTGAGCGCGATAACCGCGCCTTGCTTGAGGTTGTTAGATCAGGAGAGTAAAACTATGGAGTTTGTTTTCATCTTGTAACAAAGGGAGCATATAAGGCTTAGACAATTCCTTAATGAAGATTTAGCCTGGGATTGAGACACCTCGTCTCCCTTGGGCGTCCAGCACACCGTTCACGAGTAGCTCCGTAGCAGTTGCGTTCGTCGACGCGCCGACCACGGCGCCACCAGTTCGCCGGCGTCCTGTTCGTTCGCTCTCTGCCACTTCTTATCCCTATCGCCTCCGTCCCCTTCCCAGCCGAGTTGGCCATAACAACCTGGTATCAGAGACCATGTCGTCCTCGGCTCCGGTCATCCCCACCACCGTTCCACCCTCCTCCGGCGTGGTTTCGACTACCACCGCCCCACCCTCCACTGTCGTGCCCACCTCCAACATCATCACCACCTCGTCATTACCCAACCCTCAACTCCAACCCATTGAACCCATGGCGAAAGCGTTCGGCCACCTCGCCGCGGCCATCTGTGCCATGCAGAGGCAGATCGGGGACTTGTCCATGCGCATGTCCTCCGTCGAGAGCCAGCCACCCGCTCCGCCGATGTCATACCCCTATGGCCTTCCGGGCTACGGCGGTATCCCGGCACTGCCGCCCCGGGCCCCGGTCAGCTCCGAGTTTTTCTCCGTTCCGCCATTCCAGCCCCCCGTACCAGCCTCCTCCACTCCACCCACCACGTCCTTGCCTCCACCATCCACGGGGATGCCAATCACCCAGATCCAATTTCCACACTCGCCCTCACCGGTGCCATCGATGTCATCCATCCTCGGTGGCTCCTGCCCAGCGCCGTCCCAATCCATGCCATTCGCTCCCATGTTCTACACCTCTACACACCCCCACATACCTCTTGAATCCGGCCACCCCACTGTCCCACGCTACCAAAAACTCTCATTCCCCACCTATGACGGCAAAGATGATCCACTGGGCTGGCTCAACAAGTGTGAGCAATTCTTCCGAGGCCAGCAAACACGCCATGCCGACTGGGTCTGGCTAGCCTCCTACCACCTAACCGGGGTGGCACAGCAGTGGTACCTCGTCCTCGAGGGCGACTGCGGCCGACCGCCATGGGAGGAGTTTCGGCGGCTCTGTCACCAGCGCTTTGGGCCGCCGTTGAGCACCAACCATTTGTCTGATCTGGCGCGCCTGCCGTTCACGTCGACGGTTGACGCGTACATGGAGGCTTTTCAGGCCCGTGCGGCTCACGCCGGCCGCCTGGCCCCGCTCTAGAAGGCGTAGCTTTTCACCGGCGGTCTACCGGATCACATCCGCGTCGATGTCGAACTCCACAAACCGCAGGACCTCCAGCGCGCAATGCTCCTGGCCCGTGCCTACGAGCGCCGGAACGCGCCTCATCAGCTGGCCTTGCCGGCGCCGCCACTCCGCCCTCCTCGGCGGGCGCCCGAGACACCGGCCGCTGTGCCAGCCCCGACCGCAACGCCGAGTGCCCCAGGGGGCTCCACAGCACCAGCAGCACGCCCGTTCAAGCACCTGTCCCCAGAAGACATGGCCCTTCGCCGCAAGCAAGGGTTGTGTTATAACTGCGACGAACCTTACGTCCGGGGGCACAAGTGCACGTGTCTCTTCTTCCTGGAGGCGTCGGACTACATTGTGGAGGAGCCCAATGATGACGACGCAGCCTAGGAGGTCCAGGCAACAGAGCCACCGCCGTTCGACTCGGAGGCGCCCATGATCTCCCTCTCGGCGATCACCGGCATCCGCACCGAGGAGACGATGCAGCTCCGCGTTCACATCGGCCAGCATGAATTCACGACCCTCCTCGACTCCGGATCCACGCATAACTTCATCAGCGCGGGGGTAGCGTGGCGCGTCGGCCTTAGCTTCAGCGCCAGTGTCGGCGCGCACGTTGTCGTCGCAAACGGCGACCGCGTCGCGTGTCGCGGCCTCGCGCACGACGTGGGCGTGCGGATCGGGCGGAGGACTTCAAGGTCGACTGCTACTCCATCCCGCTCGATTGCTACGATATGGTGCTTGGCATCGTGTGGCTTTGGATTCTCGGCCCGATCCTGTGGGACTTCGACGCCCTGTGGATGGCGTTCACACGCCACGGGCGCCGGATCCTCTGGAAGGGCCTCGGAGCGCCATGCTTGTTTGCCTAGTGCGCGGGACGCATTCACGCCGGCCACCTCTACACCGCCAAGGGGACCGAGGGGGTACTGCTCAACGCCTCCTCGACGCCTACGACGACGTCTTCGCAGCACCGACGGGCCTACCGCCGGCCCGGCCATGCGATCACAGGATCCACCTCAAGCCGGCCACCGATCCAGTCGCCGTCCGGCCATATAGGTATCCCCAACTCCAGAAGGACGAACTAGAGAGGCAGTGTGAAGAGATGCTCCAATGGGGGATCATCCATATCAGCACGTCCCCATTTTCGGCGCCCATCCTCCTTGTCAAGAAAGCCGACGCGTCATGGCGGTTTTGCGTCGATTACAGGGCGCTGAACGCGGTGACAGTGAAGGACAAGTTCCCCATCCCTGTCGTCGAGGAACTGCTCGATGAGGTGCACGGTGCCAAATTTTTCACCAAACTTGATCTCCGATTGGGCTACCATCAGGTGCGCGTCCACCCCGACGACGTGGCAAAAACGGCATTCTAGACGCACCATGGCCACTTCGAATTCCTCGTCGTGCCGTTCGGGCTCTCGAACGCGCCATCGATCGTTCCAGGCGCTCATGAACTTCATCCTCAAGTCATTCCTCCGCCGGTGCGTACTTGTATTCTTTGATGACATCCTCGTCTACAACACAACATGGACAGAACACCTGCAGCAGCTCCGCACCGTCCTCGACGTCCTTCGCGAGCACCGCCTCCACATCAAGCGCTCCAAGTGCTCTTTCGCCAAGCCATCGGTGCACTACCTCGGTCATGTCATCACGGGGGCCGGTGTCGCCATGGACACCTCCAAGGTGACCGTGGTCCAGGCCTGGCCGCAGCCAAGATCAACCCGGGGGCTGCGCGGCTTCCTAGGCCTCGCCAGCTATTACCGGCGCTTCATCCGCAACTATGGCGCCATCGCCGCGCCACTCACACAGCTGCTGCGGAAGAACGGCTTCCAGTGGACCGATGCCATGTCCACGGCCTTCGGCGAGCTGAAGGCGGCGCTATCGGCAGCGCCCGTCCTCCACTTGCCGGACTTCACCCGTGACTTCATCGTCGACTGCGACGCCTCCGGCTCTGGCTTCGGTGCGGTGCTGCACCAAGACGACGGGCCGATCGCCTTCTTCAGCCGGCCCTTCGCCGCACGCCACCTCAAGTCCGCGGCATACGAATGCGAACTCATAGGTTTGGTGCAAGCGGTCCGGCATTGGAGGCCCTACCTCTGGGGGTGCGCTTTCATCGTCCGTACCGACCACTACGCTCTGAAGTTCCTCCTCGACCAACGCCTATCGACGATCCCACAAAATCACTGGGTTAGCAAACTTTTCGAATATGATTTCCAGGTGGAGTATCGTCAAGGCCGCCTCAACATCGTCGCCGACGCCTTATCGCGGCGTGATGGTGAGGCGCCCCTGCTGGCCGCGCTCCTAGACTCAGTGCCATCCCTGGCAGCGCTGTCCGTCCCCGCATTCCAGCTCTTCGTGGACCTACGGGCCGAGCTGGAGGACTCCGATGTCTTGCGCGCACGCCGGGACGCCATCACGGCGGGTGCCCATGGTGATGCCTGGCGGGTACACGACGGCCTCATCCTTCATGACAGCCGCGTGTTCGTGCCCGCCACGGCGCAGGTGCTCGACGACGTGCTCCGGCTGGCTCACACCGGGGTGCATGAGGGGATCCAGAAGACGCTCCAGCGCCTCTGCGTGGAGTTCTACGTGGAGCAGGACCGGCGCGTCGTTCGTGACTTCGTCATGTCATGCGCGACATGCCAGCGCAACAAAACGGAGGCGCTCCACCCTGCCGGCCTTCTTCAACCTCTGCCGGTGCCATCCCGCGTTTGGGCGGACATCTCCATCGACTTCATCGAAGCTCTGCCCAAGGTGCATGGAAAAAGCGTCATCCTCACTGTTGTGGATAGGTTTTCGAAGTACGCGCACTTCATCGCATTGGGGCACCCGTACACTGCTGCATCGGTAGCCCGCGCTTTCTTCCATGACATCGTTT